AAAAATCAAATTCATAATTACTCTCCTATATAATAATAAAATTAGCTAAATTATTAATTGAAACATATTTTTAACATCATCAAAACTGTTAATTGATTTGATGATTTAACAATATAATGAGCGATTTGTTATAAAATTAGAAACTTTAGGGAGTAGAATGTAATTTTTAAAATCACAAGAAACAATTCGTATTTTAATCAAATTTCAAAAGACGTATTTATAATTGAGAAATTTGGCTATAAACCCCCTTTACCTTCCTTTCATTGTTAAAAGGATTAAGAAAAAAATTATACTTTCTAAACTCCTTCATAATTATAAAGTCTTGCATAAATGACAAAATTTATTATTTAAATATTTCATTAGACTATTATACCCACAACTAAATTTTTCCCCTTCCTTTCATTGTTAAAAGGATTAAGAAAAAAATTATACTTTTTAAACCCCTTCATAATTATAAAGTCTTGTATAAAGGACAAAATTTATTATTTAATATTTTATCAGACTATTATACCTTCAACTAAATCTTCCCACCTTCTCCACCCACTCTCTCCCCACCTTCTCTGTCTCTCTCCTTCCCTTTCCCTTCTCTAACTCCTTCAAGCTTCAGATCTGGAAGCTCAGCTACCGCCTCTAGAACTCCTACATCGACCTTGCCAATGCCGCCGGCATCCGATCTTCTTCCTTTACTCCCTCTGGCGAACACGCCAAGCTCTGCCACATCTCCGCTGATTTACTCTTCCTATGTATATGTGTATGTATGTATTTATATATGTGTGTGTGCATGTACATATGTATATATGACTCATACATACATGTATATATATATCGGTAAGTGAGTGTATGTATGTATATTACACGATATTTTTTTTAACCACAGATATGAGTTTTGAATATATATATATATATATATATTTGTGTGTATGAGTGTTGTTGAACACATGTATTCTTTGAAATCAAAAGATAGAGAGATATTTGGGTGTGTTCTCCGAAATGGCCACCTCAATCAGATTATGATTATGTTGATATTTGGATGTTTTTGTTTAGTTTTCGATATGTGTGTTTTGCGGTTATATATCCTTGTAATATAGATTTGTGTTTTTACTAGTTTTTGAATTGATCTGTTTATACTCAGCTTGTTTAATGGATGATCGATCTATCAAAATGGATGATCTATTCAATTTCTCTCTCTTTCTCTGATAAGAATCTCTCTAATAAGAATTTCACACAGAAATTTTACTAATCAGAGTAATGTTTACTTTGAATCAGAGTAAAGTTTACTATGATTCAAAGTAAAACTTTACTATTAATTTTTACTTTGGTTAAAAAAACATGTTAATTTTCTCAGCAACCAAACTATATTTGGTTTTCTTGTTATGTTTCTGTGATTTTCTCAGCAACCAAACACACAAGGTTATTAATACATGACACTTAGTGTGATTCAAAGTGGATACTCTCCTTAGATTATAGTAAAATTATACTTTCAGAGTAAAATTTTACTCTAAACCAGAGTAAAGTTTACTATGATTCAAAGTAAAATTTTACTCTGGTTAAAACTATATTGATTTGCTTAACGATATAAAATTTTACTTTGAATTATAGTAAATTTTACTCTGATTCAGAGTAAAATTATACTTTCAGAGTAAAATTTTACTCTGAATCATAGTAGAATTGTACTTTCTCTCTGAATCAAAGTAAAATTTTACTTTGGTTAAAAACATGTTGATTTGCTTAACAATGTAAAATTTTATTTTGAATCATAGTAAAGTTTACTCTGATTTAGAGTAAAATTTTACTCTAAAATACACTGTGAAGATGGCTTAATAGGAGAGCTAATAAATATGAGAGTAATATAATAAAAGAAACAAGTTTTAAAATATTACGGAGTTTTGAAAAAACTTATATAATTCTTGTCCTTTTGAAAGATAAATTAGACAGTAAGGAGTCTATCACCAAATTTCCCTTTATATTTTAATATTTTAAAATATTAAAAAATTAATATTTTAAGACAAAGAAAGCATATTTTTTTGGGCAATAATGCACGTTCGTTTTGTATTTCTTTTTTCTCTCTTTAGAGAGTACGTGAGACGTGTTGCCATTACAAAACTTCTTTGAAAGGGTGGTTCAAAGTCCACGTCATTAGGTTTGAGGTGTCACTTTGTCCCTCATTCTATTGGATTGAATTTTTTATTTTTTTTGAACACCTTCTATTGGATTGTATTTAGGTATGTAGTTCTATCACTGTCTCACGATAATTTAAATTATTTATTTTTTATATCATAATGTATAATTTAATTATGAAAAAAAATAAATATATATAATCATTATAATTACGTTGATTTATTATATTGGTTTATTATAATACGAATTATTTATATTATAATACGAATTGTTTAGTTTTTATTAAATAATAGTTATCGTTCATTTTTTTAAGAGATGTTTTTTCATAAATCTCTTTTTATTTACATATATTTCATTTAGTTTATATTATTTTTTTATATTTCAATAAGTCTTATAAGTGACATAATTACTGAAATATCTCTAATAATATTCACATTTGCAGTGTGAATATTCTGTGATGTGGATGTTCACATTATCATGTGAATGATAACATATCAATGTGAATATTTATATTGTCCGTGTGAATGTTCAAATCATCAATATGATGTTCACATGCCAATATAAATATTCATATTGTCAATGTGAATGTTCACATGCCAATATGAATATTCACATTGTAAAATATGAATGTTCACATCATCAAATTGTTAACCGCTCAAAAAATATTTATAAGGGTAAAAATGTTCATAAAACACATTAAATATGAGAATTATGATTTGGTAAATTGAATATTCAAATAATTGACTTATTAGAATACAAGAATATATTATGAACTAATTGTGATACAAATACTTGAAATTTTTTTTTAATAAATCTCTTTTTTTAATAAATAAATATCATAAATTAAAATGAATATAATTATTAAATCAATTTTTCTTTTTTTGTAAATAATTTATATGTCATGATTAAAAAATAAAAAATTCAAATTATTAACCCAGAGACATGCTATCCACAGTCCACAATCCACAATCTGTGTATGATCAGCAATTGTCTACCATGGTCAGCAATTATTAACACAGCCTAATAGTTGTTTACAATGATCAGCAATTGTCATATATAAGTAAATAATTTGGATGAATTGTAATTAAGACTGAAAAAGTCTTTTTAACTTTATGCGACAATGACCCGGCACTAACAATATTTCAGGTATGTACGGGGAAAACATTTTGGGCCCGTTCATGTATTTGTCACAGAAATTGCACTAATTCACACGTCAACATCGAAGAGACTAAATTGTCACGCACTAATAAAGTCCTATATTTTTTTAGATCGGAAAAAATATTTTATTATAAAATTAATAAAAAATAAGATTAATCTAATATATTAATATTATAATATTCCAATAAAAGATAAAAATCTTTATAGAATAAAATATTCAAGTCCCTGTAAAGAAAAAGAAAATATCCTCACAACAGGGAAACAAATCTTCTAAGAGCATCTCCAACGGTGTACCAAATATTTCACCAAATCTGTGTAAAAAATGAGTCATTTCCTTAATTTGATACTTCGCGCTCCAACGGTTCAACATCAAATCCGTTTCATCAAATTTGCGCTGGGCAACCGGTTGGTTGACCGGCCGGTCGACCGGCCGGTCGTGAAACCGTTGGAGCGTGAAAAAGTGGGTTTTTCATCAAAATTTAAATCTGATGCTGGGTTTGGTTCACCGTTGGAGATGGTCTAATATGTCGGTATTACAATGTCTCAAAAAGAGGTAAAAATCTATATAAAAAAAAAATACCCAAACTTTCATAGGAGAAAATGCTCTCACAATGGTGAGAAACAAATCTCCGCACATAAAGAATTATTATAATAATAAATTAAAAATCAAAAAAAAAAATCAAACAAAAAAAAAAATCAGATTCAAATCGTCACCAAACTATCCAACACTCAATTGCTCTGTAACCTTCAACTTGAAATCTAAAACCTCACCTCCGTTGGTTAAAATATAGAATAATGCTTGGGACCCCCTTTTGGGGGTCACCCCCTCACCCCCTTTGCAACGTGGCGGATGGTAATTGGAGGAGCAGGAAAAAAAAGAAAAAGAAAAAGAAAATGAAAATGTAACCAATGAGAGAGAGAGGGGGTCAAAGGGGATGGGAGGAAAAGGGGGATGAATCATTGTTGTAAAATATAATATTGAGGCCTTATTTGGCAAATGGTGATTTTAGTTAAAAAGTCAAAAAGTAACTAAAAAATATCAAAAAGCCAACAATATATACCAAAAAATTAAAGAATTTATTTTCTCTTTACTTTTTACACATCTTTTTATAAAAAAATAAAAAATTATCCAAAACATACACTATTTTTTAAAATCATATTTTAATCAAAAAATTATTAAAAGAATTTGTTGTCGATCGAGACCTGAATCTAAAAGCCTCTATTTGAACAGTAACATTGTAACATACGACAAACATTTTACATGTGGCCTTTTAAAAATATACATAGCATCCATTTTAAAAAAAAAAAGATAAACATGATAAAATAAAAGTATTATAATTAGGAGATCAACTCAACATTTTTATAAGAATAATGCTTGGGACTCCCTTTTGGGGGTCACCTCCTCACCTCCTTTGCCACGTGGCGAGTGGTGATTGGAGGAGCAGGAAAAAAAAGAAAAAGAAAAAGAAAATATAACCAATGAGAGAGAGAGGGGGTCAAAGGGGATGGGAGAAAAGGGGGGATGAATCATTGTTATTTTTATAAATGATGTACACTAAAGCCTCTATCAGATGAATGGTTTCGATCAAACTTCTCAAATTTAAATTAAAACTAACAAAAGAACTCTTAATATGGAACATCATATATATACAATGACATAATTACCCATGCAATTATGCATCTATAAATAGGGAGCCGAGGACGTGAATTCTTCATTTTGGGGTTATCTCCAAGGAGAAAAGTTTCGTCTTCTTTTCAAGGTAAACTTTCAAGTTTCGATTATCTCCCGTCGATGTTTTTCTTGACAATAAAATGATAAAATAATCAAATTCTTTTAAAAGATTTTATTTTTATTTTGAATGTCAATACTGCATTCAAATATAATAGCTATAATTATTTTATTCATCTTATATGCTAATACTATATTAAAAATAGATATAAATAATAAGACTTATTAGAGTATTTCCATCCAAACTTTCAAAATTTATTATGTCAATTTTTTTTTTTTTTTTAAAGATTTGGGTAACAAATTGACATATATCAATTTGACATTGAAGCTTTTCACTTAAACCGTAGATCTATTATTCTATTATTTTTAAAATTTGAACTCCTTTATTTGGGGAAAAAAAAAAAAAAGAGTAAAAAGGTGATTACCAAAAACCATGTCAACTTTTGACACGCTAGGTGAACTTCATTTGGTATGTTGAAATAGAACTGTTAAAATGTCACAATAAATTTGACATACCAAATGAAAATACTCTTATATTAATACAATTTAACATATGAAATAATAAATAAAATGTAATAAGAAAATATGATCGTCTTCACGTGATTGTTTTCTTTATGGTATTGTTTCTTCGTTTCTTCAGGCCTTGTACATCTGTATACTTTTTGTTAGAAAATTTTCGAGTTGTTTTGCAACTTGAAGTGATGAATATAAAAATTTGCACTGCCCTTGTTACACTTATTTTAGTGGGTTCATTATTAATATGTCGGTGTAATCTAGGTTCATATCTGTGGAAGGACTTTCCGAAGTACCAAAAACAAAAACGTCTGTGGACGGAAGAGAACCAATGGACGCCTTTCCAGCTGGATGGTTATATGATCTGGTAAGTCTTTAATTAAATTTTTTTTTTTTGACAAATTTTACTTTACTCCTTTATAATTTACTTTATATGTGCATAACTTTATATATTTGAAAATAAAAACATAAATTACTGTGATTTGTAAATTAAAGTGTATTATTAAACCCGTTAATTTCTCTTTTCAAAAAGTATAATGTACTTCAAATTTAAAAACTTCAACAACTAAAATGATATGTAACTATAATTCTCAATTCAATTTTATTATTATTATTATTATTATTATTATTATGAGACAAACAATTGAATCGATATCAGTTCTCTTTTAATGAATTATGTTCTATTTTTTTTTTTTTTTTCATTTTCCTGAATGGCTCTTAATTTGATTTATAGGGAATGGAAGATCAATATGACATCTCAATAGATGAGTTCGATTTCCAGTCTTTCTCTCCCGAAAGCTATAAATCATCTCTCAATTCGACTGAACTTGAACAACTCGATACCAATATTTGGAACACTAGTCGTGCCACTGAAAATATAGCTCCAAATGAGTCTTCTACTCCTCCCTACTTGCTATCTTTCGCGCAATCAGACTCACCTTCGGCCCATTCAGCAGAGCAATTTAATGAAAATCCCAGCCGTAGTGAAAAGCCGAAGGATCATGAGATGGTGCCTGAAGAAAATACAAACTTGTCGTATTTAAGTTCACATGGTTCGGATGATAATTCATCCGATACATTAGAAAGACGCAAGTGGACTAAAAGCGTTCGGGCCTTCAGCAGGCCACCATTGCAAGCTAAAAATCATGTTGTGGCAGAAAGAAAGCGTCGAGAAAAGCTGAATCAGAAGCTCATAGCTCTCTCAGCCCTTATTCCTGGTCTAAAGAAGGTATTAGCCTCCTTTTTTTTTCTTTTTTGATTTTGTCTCAAATTGGTATAATTGACTTTAATTGTTAGCATTTTTTATACCAAGCGCACACGAGTGGCATGTGTCATTCTTTTCGGTGTAAAATAGTAAATTTCATCAATTTAGTGATTTGACCTTAACTAACTCAATGATCATTTTCTTTCAAAATTTCTAATGATATCATTAATTGGATCAAATTGACTAAAAAGCTAAAATTGAGCTAATTGATATTGAAGGGACAAAAATAACAAAGTCGGTAAAATATAGGGACTACTAGTGTAATTTATCCAAAGAAAAAGAAGAATAGGCAATAATGTAAGAGCATCTCCAATGCACTAGGCATATAATACTTGTTAGTTAAAATGCCTAGCGTGATTCACTTTTTTCAATTCCAATGCACTAGGCATATGATTAGGCATTTTGCCTCAACTCATATTCAGTAGCTACATGTAGCTAGCCTTCAATGCTAGGCAAAATGTATTCAATCACTAGGATCATTTCCCTCCATCTTTGTTGTTGACGTGGCATTCTATAAAATTAATAATATTTGGATAAATAGCTAAAACAAAGAGCATGGTTGGAGTAAAAACATAAAACAGTCGATAGACAAAATAAAATATATACTTTATAGTAATATTTAGATAGGTAAAATGCCTATTACCGTTGGAGATGCTCTAAGTGTTACATTACATTATACTTTGATGATGTTTTGTTGACAAATTTGTATGTAGATGGACAAGGCTTCTATCCTTGTAGACGCCACAAACTACATTAAACAGCTGGGAGAAAGAGTGCAGACACTAGAGCGAGAAGCCAAGAAAATAATATTGGTGGAACCAACTAAACCTTCTGTGAAAAGATTTCGACTCTCTTCTACTGATATTAATGGAACTTGTTTATCGGATGACAACATTGATGGAAACTCCAACAACATTAATCAATCTCCTGAGATAGAAGCAAGAGTTTCAGACAAACATGTGCTGGTTAGGATCCACTGCAAGAAACAAGATGGTCTCATTGCTAAAATATTGAGTGAATTAGACAAGTTTTGTCTCGATGTCATTAGTAGTAGCACCATGCCATTTGGGGATACTGCCCTTGATATCACCATTATTGCTCAGGTACTTTACTTTCATCTCTCGTTAGCCAAAAATTATTATTGCAATTAAGTTGGTAGGTAATGTAAAATATTTTCACATATGAGTCATTGTTTTGAGACAAAAGGAGAGCCTAGCATGTGCAATTCACCCTCACAAATGGACTTCACGTTTGTAGGTCCCATACTTTTATTTTATATTTGTTTTTTATTCAGTAAAAATGTACGTGCACTAAATTTTTAGATAAATTATAACGATATTCTTTTAATAAAGTTGAAAATATCAAAATTAATGTTAAATGGTGTAAAAGCATACAAATAAACAAATAAAATATACATTTTAGTATAAAATGATTGTGATTTTCTATATGATTAACGAATTATTGATGAGATTATTAGACCTTTACCTAAACTCAATTTAATTATGTTAAACATTATATATATTTTTTAATCATAGAAAATGTGAATATAATTTATCTTACTTTTTTTATTTATTAAATGTCACTTGTGAGATTGTGACATTTGTCCATGATGCTAGGGATAATCATTAAGGTCATGTTTGTTTGGGTGGACATAAATTTGGGATTGGACTAATAGTCCAATAAAATTATTAATCCGATATTTGATTAAATAATTGAATTACGGACTAATTATTTTAAACTTGAATATTAGTTAAGATAGGATACATAATCCAACGGATTCGTAGTCCTAGGACTATTAGTCATGAGAATGCTAATCCAGTCCGCCCAAACAAACATGGCTTAAATGTTTTGTTCGAAACTTCTTAATTTTACTTTCACATGTTCAAAAAGTTATAATTAAAGGTGTAAAAAAGGCACATTGGCCTGAGGCACGGCCCAACCCAAGGCCCGATCTGAGACCCAGCCCAAGACCCAACTCGCCCACTGTCCAACATCACTTTCAAACCATTTTAGTGAGAAAAAAAATGTGGGGATTGATGTGCCAAAACATTATCATGTGATGATATTTTTAACTTCATTGTTTTCGGGTGGAGGGAGGGCAACAATATGCTTCCCCGCAACTACCCCCAACAAAAAAAAAAAAAAAAAAGTTTTTCAGCATGTGATAAAATAAAACTAGTAACAAACACATCATCTGAATTAAAATTTCATACAAAAATTACGTTTTATATGAGCGTTACTCAAACTTTTATTATCTTCTCATTAAGCTAATCTACAATTTGTTGTGTGCAGATGGGTGATGAATTGAAAGTGAAGGATCTTGTGAAAAACCTAAGTTCGGCTGTTCTAAAGTCTGTATGACACATGCATTAATTCAATCGATTTCACTTTGGACATTGCATTTAGAGATTCCCTAATCTTTCTTGGTCGTGTCTTTGCTCTCTGATTCAATGTTCCATTGTTGTAAAAATGGCTTTTATGATGTGATGAGAAAGGGTTTTCGTGTTGGGATGGTCACTGTTGGTGAATAATGGTAGAATAATTGAATAATTAATCGATATATTTGCAGTTTAGCTATACTCCATTTTTGTATTGCTCAAAGATATAAAACTAATCACAGAACGAGAATAATTCACGTTGAGTAATTTCTGTGATTCGTTCTGTATCTCTTAAACTTATTATTGTATTGGTTGATGTAATGATATACTAATTTTTTTTATACCATGCACAAATGAAGGATGGATTTTGCATGAAAGCTAAGGATATTGAGGACAACCTAACATTATCTCTAGCGAAGTTCCTGTGACAGACACGTAAACAAGTTCACTTTCCACTCTGAAGATTGTTGTCTTCAATTTTTCGCGTTCCCTTGAACTTCTAACAAAATAAATTTGTTTACTCACTATTAAAAATGTGAATAAACTACAAATTATCCTTGATCTAAAACAGTGAGCGTTATATTTGAAAAGTAGATTCATTTTACTTAAAATTATGGTTCTCACTGTTTTTTATCTATAAAAAATTGTATTTTATTCATGGACTAGCTAAGTATGTAAACAAAATTCAACATAATCAATAAAATTTTGAAAATTAATGAAATGTAACTTTTTTATTCATCGACCTTTTTTTCTTTTTTTTTTTTTAGCCCCTCGAGTTATCTTTCACTTTCTTGGCTTTGTCGATTATTGATGCAAGCTTCCATTATTAATAAAAATAGTTTATTTCAATTAACTTTTTGTGACAAGATTAAGTTTAATTTTGTTGGGTCAAGGAGAGCCATAGATTGATGCAAATAAACATACACAAGAGACAAATACGGAGTTTACGTGGTTCAATAATAACCTATATGCACGGACAGTGGAAATTCTATATATTTTGGAGAGATACAAATTCATTCAGTGTTTCCTCACCACTCTCTTCTTTTTCAATTTAATGTTTGCATACAAAATACAATTCCTTACTTCTCTATTTATAGAGTTTCTTCAGAGGGTGAGATGTGTAGGCAGTGACGGAAATTTCACTGCGTTTTGGATGTGTTCGGGAAGCTTCAAGGTGCTTCAATTGTTGACCTTCAGGAGGTTGAACTCAAGATGAACTTCTTCTTTTGGAGTCTTCCGGTTTGGTCTTCACAAGAGAAGCCAAGCTTCTATTTTCTTCTTCTTTCTTAATGGTAAAGTAGAGGGAAGAGAAATTGAGCCAATTTACCCACAATTCTCCACCTTGGCAAAAAATTCTTCATCCAAACTATATAGTGAGCAATCAACGCTACCATGCATCCGAAGGTGCTTACATGTACTCCAAATGGATTAAGCCCAAACATTATTTGAACTTAACTCCAGCTCTGTTCTTCTTCTACTAGGTTTTCTTCTGCTGGGAGAGATGCACTGTGCTTCTAACCCTAACCCTCTCTTGGGGATTCTTTGTCCCAAGAGTCTTCTTATGTGCAACCGTAAAATGATCAAACCGATCATACTACTGTCATGGTGATTGCTTCATTCTGTAGAGGGATTTCTTCTTTCCAATAATTTTTTTCTTTCCAGCTACTCGAAACCTTCCAAGCTAAGATAAGAAAATTTATTCATTCAAATCACCATCTTCTTGATGAATTTTCATTTGCAGCCGGTTACCTTTTTCCTGTTTTGTAATTGTTCCATATCCCAAGTCTTATTCTTGTGCAAATTCTGTACTTCTTCTTCTTTAGCTAGTTGTTCTTGTTTGGGATTCTTCTTGGTTGCTTCAGCTGTTGAGATATCATTCCCAATTGTTGGAAATGCATAAGATATGATATTCGCATATCTAGCTGGTTTTCTAGTCTCTCTATTCAACTTCCTGGTAGCAATAGACTCTAATTGATGCGATACTGTTATGACTGGTTCTTCTTCAATTGCACCTTCTTCAATTCGTTCTTCTAAGTCCACTGTTGCATCAAACTCCACCTGCTGCGTTCCAATGGCTTTGTTTTGTTTACTAGAGTCTTTAGGCTTGAGTTACTTAAGCATTTCAAACTCATTAAATGTGACATCTCAGCTAACTATGACCTTTTTCGATTCAGGGCACTAAAGCCTGTACCCTTTTTCTTCATGACTAAAGCCCAAGAATACTCATTTCTTGGCTTTAGGATCAAGCTTACTTCTTTGCACATGATAGTAAGCCGGACTACCAAATATATGCAATTGATCATAATCATTGGCATGAGTACTGAACCATACCTTCAAAGAGGTTTTTCCTTCATTTGCAGCAATCGATAGACAGTTGAAAAGGCGGTGGGCATATGTCACAGCTTCAGCCCAAAGTTGCTTGCCTAAACCGGATTGAGCAAGCATGCAACGCACCTTTTCCAATGGAGTATTGTTCTTCTATTCTACCATTTCATACTGTTGTGAAGTTCGTCTTTTAGTGATGCGATGTACTCTACCTACTTTCTGACAAAGTTCTTTCAACAGATCAGTAATGTTCTTTCCACCATTGTCTGATCTTAAGGTCTTCACTTTTCTGCTAGGCTAGTTTTTCATCATCTTCTTCCATGTTGTGAAGATGTTCACAACTTCATTATTTTCTTCATAATGTACACCCAAACACAATGAGAATATTCTTCAATAGATGTGACAAAACAATGTTTACCTACTTTCCATATTTTCTTCCTTACAATGTTCTACTGTCTCGAACTTGACTTTAGTCTTCATGCAATCTGTGTCAACTTTGTCAACTTCTTCATTCTTTCTACTGTTGGTGGCTGCTCCACTTACAATTGTACTCCCTTGCAAGAAGTACAAATCCTTCTCCTTGTTTCCTTTCATCATGACCCGAGTTCCCGACACTACTACGAGATCTCCACCTTCCAAGGTAATCTTGAAACCTTTTGGATGCTAAAATGCCCAGCGAGATGAGATACTTCTTCAATTCTGGTACATACTGTACTCAGACCTCGAATTGTTCCATTATGCAACTTCAGTTGGATGCTTCATATTCCCATTGTCTCATAAGCGGCGTTGTTACCCATAAGAACTGTTCCACTATCTAACTTTCCAAAGTTAGAAAGCCAATCCTGATTAGGACACATATGGAAAGTACATCTAGAATCCATAATCCATTCATCAAAATGGCACGAAAACAATGGAGCAATACAAACACAATCTGAATCTTCATTCTCCTGAGCAAGGCTGAATATAGATGTCTCATTGTCATTATTCTTCGGACAATCAGCTTTCTAGTGTCCTTTCTTTCGACAAAGGGTACATTTATCTATAGCGAGTATTATTCTGGTTGACGGTTCCTTACACATGGAGCAGGATCTGTTTTTGCTGCTTCTGTATGACCCTCTTAGATTGCTTCTTCTTTTCCAATTTTCCTTGTAAAACTAAGGCTCTACCTGATGTGTCTTGAAAATGGGCCTTCTTATCCTTTTTCTGGTACTCATTGTTAACCAATGTGTCAGACGCATCTTCAGGCCTCGTTTGGGAACAAGCTAATTTAGTAACTTTTTGCCTATTTGGCTAAAATATGAACTAAAAAAAACTAGTATGTTTGGGATGACTTTTTGGCTTTTTACGAAAAGATGTACAAAAAGTAGAGAGAAAAGAGAATTTTTGCCTTTTTGGTATGGGTTGTTAGCTTTTTAGTTTTTTTAGTGACTTTTTGGCTTTTTGGCTAAAAAAGCCACTTGCCAAACGAGTCAAGTGCTTATATTTATTTGGTAAGGAATTCAGCCGCAATAAAGCCTTGTCTTCATCTTTAACTTCAACATTCAAATTGAGTAGATTGGCAAGAATCTTGTTAAAGTCATTCAAGTGTTCAGACATTGAACTTCTTTCTTTATGCTGAAATTGGAAAAGTTTATTCTTCAAGTATAATTAATTCTCTATGCTTTTCGTCATGTGCTTGTCCTCCAACTTCTTCCAGAGATCTTTGGCATACGAATCCTTCATGACAGAATACTCTTGATCTTTTGCAAGACGTAACCGGATGGTACCACAAGCTAGCCAGTTGATCTTGTTTCAATTTTTGTCAAACATTTCTGTAGGTTTGCCCTCCAAAGCGATATCTAATTCCTGTTGGATAAGCACGTCTAAGACTTTGCATTGCCACATGCCGAAGTTGTTTCTTCCATCGAATTTTTTAACCTCAAACTTGCATTGAAGATTGAACTCATTTTTCCTTGGTTACTTGATGAAGGTATTTCTTCAGTCATTCTTTTTCAAAATTCTAAAACCACCAAAAAAGCCCTTCTTCGAGGACGGCTAAGACAATTTGAAATACAAACACCCCTGACAACCTCGTAAAATTTGGATCTGGATATGAAGAAATGGATAGCGCGGTTGAGTCCGGAACGGTAGATTTAGTTAGGGACTACTCTTTTTATGTCAAAAAGCAACCTAAAAGTGCTCCCAAAACTGACCAAAACTTTTCAGAGAATATTTTGTTATTTAAGAAAATATTCCGTCACAGAGAGAATATTTCGTTTCTAATTGGCCTGCTGAGGTGGCAGTTAAACCTGCTGATGTGACAATTGACATGGCGCGTTGACCAAACTGGTAGTGATTACATGGCAGCAACACATGGCGCTGACTTGGCGACATGTGGAGCTAACGCGTGGCAGATCAGCGGCAGCGCGGCGACTCGACTCAATTTCAAGTGGATGACGTCATCAGCTGGTGGCGTGACGTTAGCGATCGATAGCAAAAGGAATTCGGTGTTTGGTTCTCCTGGGGACGACGCGTGGCGCGTGTGTTCTAGTGGCGCCACACATGAGAACGGCGTCAGGAGGCACATAGGGCACGTGCGGGCAGCTCCGTTGTCCTTTTTCAACTTTTTTTTTTTTTTCTCTCTATGTGCTCTTCTCATCAAGAGCTTCAACCTGGTGTGATCAAAAGTGGATATCAACCACTTTGAAATCTAAACAATTTTGAAAAATGTCCCCTGTTTCACTGAAAATTCGCCCAATCGAGCTTTGGTACCACTTGTTGGGTTAGGGAGAGTCACAAATTGAGGCAAACAAACATACACACAATAGAGAAACA